ACGCAGTTGGTCTTTAATCTGTTTTTAACAAAAACCATTAATCATTATTTGATATATTACGCGATAATACTGTGCGTACACCAAAAGATATGATCTACGATAAGCCGATTGTAGCATCCAGGTTGACCTTGGGTGCCAAAGTGTCGAAGGCGTACTGAATAAATTAAGCACTATTTTCGGGTATCTTTAGAAAAATCGTGATAATACATCGGCTATTCGTACAGTTGTCCCTGTTTTCCTCTTTGTATGATTTTTGGTTTTTAGAGAGCAACTGAAAACAGTGATTGTCCGGACATTCATGGCATTTCTTGTTACTGAAAGCACCACTACGCTGTATTCGGTCTGCTTGGGAGTTTTACGTTCGATTGGATGATTTAGAATTTTTGACAAATATGTTTTGTTAGGTAAACCATAATTACGGTACTGCATGTGCTCATGTTACATTGTTTTTTTCTTTTTTTCTGTGGAATTTTGAGAAAAGCTTTTGTTTTGCAGAACCTCTGCATTCTCCACAGATACAATATATGCAGTGCGTATTTTGCCAATTTTTTGATCGGATTTTTCGTATTTTCGCGTACTTGTGCTACCCATTATCACATATTGCATTGTTAAAATGTCACTTTCACTTACGATTACTTTCTACAAAAACATCTTAATACTTTTGCCTGTCAAACAAATGCACATTTCCATGCCATACGTTCGGCTTAAAAAAACACGCAGTACAAAATTACTGCACTGCTTTTTTACAGTTCTTTTGTGGCAAGGTCGAAACTGTTGGATATTCTGTGGTTTTAATATTGTTTATACGTATGACATATTAGTTTTTATGATTATTCATATTTTCCTGTTCTTTTTTTGCGTTAATTTATTTTACATCGTTTATTATAATTGTTTTTGTGTATGTGGCATTTCATTCACTGCCATTGTGCAATGCGAACTGGTACTTCATTCCTTCATCAATATTTCGCACATCTCACTTTTGAGATGTGCTTATTTTCAGCATCCATTTGTTCACATTAATCAAAAGAAGGGACGCTTCCTCTAGTCGGATAAGTTGATAACTAGGGGACCTGAGAAGCTAGAAAACTGGAATTTTATGGGGATGTTCCCCGTCCAAATATGAACTCAAACCCAGTAACTGGTAGTCACAGTACCCATATACGGGCCCGTGAAATTTTTTTACGGATAAGTTGTTAACTTGGGAACTTGAAAAGCTAGAAAACTGGAATTTTAAATTAAAGAACACATGTAGAACCAACCTTAGCAAAGGTTGATTCTACATGTGTGCTTTAATTTTCAGAAGAGT